CTTATAGGAATCATACGACTTGTGATCCTATTATGGACATAGAAAGCAGTCAAAAGTGCTTCCCCCCATAATTTGTTTGGTAGACCAGATTGGTTCGACATGTAGTTGACCATCTCACAAAGGGTCTTATTCTTTCTCTCAGCCAAACCATTTTGTTGGGGGAGTATATGGTGAAGTTCTCTCATGTTTGATTCCATTCTTTTCGCAGAATGTGTCAAACTCTTCATTAAAATATTCTTCGCCTTTGTCCGAGCGAAGAATTTTGATGTGTCTTTTAAGTTGATTTTCGACCTCAGTCTTATACAGTTTAAATGCATCAAAAGCTTCATATTTTGATCTAAACAGATAAACATGTAAATATCGACTGGAGTCATTACAAAATGTGATGAAATACCTTTTTCCTCCTCGACTAAGTATTCCATTTAATTTACATATATCATAATGAATCAACTCAAGTAATGATGTATTTCTCTTAACTGATGGAAATGATTTCTTTGTAAACTTTGATTTCACACAAGTTTCACATTTTTTCAAAATCTTTTGTGTCATATTTTAACATTCCTTTAGTTTGCATTTTTTACTGTTTTTAACATTAGTTTGTGCTAAACGTTTATGCCATAAAGAAATTGAACGAACAAAGTAACCAGAAAAGTTCATTTAATTCACATTAGCAATCATTCCATCATTTACATCATCCATACCCACACAAGACACATTTTCAACATTAGAACCACTATTCTCAGCACTTGGCCTACTTTCACTACCCTCATCACTAAGGGAAAGACGATACATTCATGAATAGTTGTTCGCCCTTCCAACATATCTTCTCCCCTTAGTGGTCACGGTTCTACGTTTCTTAAGCTCTATCTTGAACCTACCTTTGTCAAACTTATCTGCAGAAACGAACCCCTTCGAGATAGTAGGAACATGAAGAACATCTCGAAGGGTAACCCATTCACCACGTGTGAACTTCAAACGAACATCACCTCTTCCTTGAACTTAAGCTCTATGACCATCAACAAATATGACTATTGTTCCTGGTGGCATTGGAAGGTAAGTGTGAAAGCTCTCTCGTTGCCCACAAACATGCACCGTAGCTCTAGTGTCCACAAAAGATCCTCGGGCACATATTGCTCGGGTAAGGGAAGAGATCATGAAAATCTCTCCAAGGTTCACACTTGTCACCATATCTATCACTTGCTCGACTAAATGTGCAACCGGTCCTGATTTGCGATTTTTGCATTCTCTCGTATAGTGCCTAATCTCTCCGCAGACGTGGCAAGGTCTGGCCCTCTTCGAATTTGAGTTAGGATTCTAATTACCTGGTTTCTTGAAGCTTTGTTTCTCGGGTCCAAAGTTCCTTTTGTCTTGTCCCCCATACTTGGTCTTGTGACCAGAACTCCCAACTGACACGTGATGCACACTCGATACTACTTTACCATGCTTATTCCTGATGCGATTTTCATCCTCAATACGTAGATGTTTCATCAGATCATCCAAGGATTAGTCCTCATATTTGTGCATCATTCTCTTAGAAAAGTCTTTCCACGAGGGTGACAGTTTTGTGATGATCGCACCAACCTGAAGAGTTCCAGTATCGAGATAGAGAGTGTTTTGAGCTTGTTGACCATGACCTGGAGCTCATGCACTTTCTCCATGATAGGTTTGTCGTCAGCCATTTGAAACTCTAGGTACTTAGACACAAGGTACTTGTTAGTACCTTCCTCATGTGCCTTGTACTTAAATTCCAAAGCACTCTATAGTTCTCTCAGATCTTTGACCAGCACGTAAAGATCATATAACCGATCAGACAATGATTTCTTGATGTAACTCACACACAGTTCCCCAGACCCTCTACGCAGAGCCCTTTGCTTTTCCAGATCAAAGATGACCCTTGGATCCACATTTTTCCCCGCCTCGGGAATTTGATCATCAGGAATTAGGATCAGTTTCGGGTCCAAAACATAGGCGAGCTTCAGCACATGAAGCATGAACTTGACCTTGTTGGCCCAGCAGATGTAGTTTTGACCATCGAATCAGTCAAGCTTGGCAAACTCTTGGTTTATGTAGTGGAGACTAGCAGTTGGGATTCGGGTGTCCATTAGTCTTAAGATTTATAAACACAAAAAAAAACCTTTAAGATTGTTGAATATCATAACCAATAGACATGCAAGGAAATCGACAAATAATATTGAGAATTATATGTCGATTAGTTGTGAATAATAAATCCAATTATTATTAATATGATTACCAAGTTTCGTCCAGAAACTAGATCAATCCTGGTTGATTAGATATGATTATAAGAAAGATAGAAGAAGAGTGTCTTGTTATTGGTCAAACCGACTTGACCCGAACTCGTCAAACATAAAAGCTCCTCGACGTCGTGCGAAGTGCCAAGTGCGCCTAAATCGCACACTCGCGACGTCGGCTAGTGTTAGGCTAGGCAAGGCACGCGTGTGGGCTTGACCCATTCCTTTGATGCACTAAAAGCCTTTGAAGACCTATCAAAGGAAAAACTTTATAAACACACTAAATGTTTCTTCCCCCACTAATGTGGGATAGAGGAAACTTGCCAACTTGCAACATTTTCTCTATAATTTCCAACATGACACCGATCTCAAAAAATAAGGAAGGTGTGACCTCCAGATACATATCCATCTTTGATGTCCCATACGACAGCAAGTGAAAAAATTATTTCACTCTCAAGGTCAAATATTCATTGCTTTTTTAACACATACGGAAATAATCCTATCGTCTTTTACTTTTAGTATTATTTTTCATCTTATTCAGATTTTGAAATCAAAAGTCAGAAGAAAGCGAAAGGCACTGATAATTTGCATATTTTTGTGTGATTTAAGTCAACATTATTTATCAGATATGGAAAGCTTATCTAATATGACTGTTCAATCTGATAAATATGGCCTCCAAGTATTTTATTTTGTTGTTTATCTTTACAAATGTGATTATAAATATGTAAATGTATGGTGTTTTTTTTCTGTAAAGGGCAATATACTTTATTTTTTTGGGTTTCAACGATTATGATTGTGTGTTAAAGAGCAATGAACTTTTATTTCACCCGTTTTAGAGTTCGATATACATAACCACCAAACAAAATGTTGACACAACGAAATAAAGAAGAAAAAAAAATTATGACCCGTACAACGTACGAGTCTTTTACTAGTTAAAATAAAATGACGGAAAAGGAGTGAAAACCTCTTTTTATATGACAAAAAGTTTAGACACTTAATTTTTTGATACCATAAAAACTTACTACATGAGAAATGAAATCACTTGCGCCAAAATAGTTGTCACGAATAAGCCTGCTTTGAAAAATCATATGGACTGATTGTGTTTTTTTATTTAATAACAAAAATTAGTTTTATTTATGTTACACGTTTTACTTTTTTTCTTTATATAACAGTTTTTTTCTTTTTAATTTTCAGAATTACGTTATATTTTAAAATCAAAACATAAAAAATAATATCAACCTTAAAATTTAGGCTACATTTATCCATACCCCTCAGTACTTAATACTACCCCTTAATAGTTAGCTTTTAATCATTACGTTATGATGACACATTTTTTTATTAATTATGATTACTTTTAAAAATTATATTATAAAGATATATGTATATTTTTTAATATATGAATAATTAACATTTATAATTAATAGTTTTTTTTAATCAAGTATTTTATAAACAACGACCCATTTAAAATATAATCTAAATGGTTTGTATACAACATTAAATATATTTAATATATTATTCTAAAAAAGTTATTTTAAACATTGTAAACAAACATTAACTAAATAACTTAATATATTATTCTAAAAAAGTTATTTTAAACATTGTAAACAAACATTAACTAAATAACTTGACTTCCACTTATAAATACTAAATTTGCGTCTTACATGTAGCATAACATATTTTTTTTACTTCAAAAAATAATAAAGATACTACGAAATAAATGATAAATTTAATTTTGAACATAAAGCTTAGTTTTATATGATAATAATACAAAATAATTAATCGTGAACATACATTTGTGACAAAAACTAGGAAATAGGTAGTCCGACTAAGGGGACGATGGCAGTGGTTAATGGAAGACGACGCCGATTAATGGCAACGTTCCTCTCTCTTTTGTTCGGACTCTCTTCTGTTTTTCCGGTAGCTACCGGCGGCAGCTGACCGTCCACAATTGTTAATTG